TATATATATATATATATATATATATATATATATATATATATATAACAAAAACTCCTAACTATGTGCAGAGTGGTGGTACCTATGCGTTACTACAAGTACTACATGATCTTCAATTACTAATCTCGAGGACGAGGCGCGAGTATAATCCGGATTGAAATCGCGTATATTTGTTTTTTCAAACAAACCGACGTTTCGGGCCCTTAACAGGTCCCATGGTCACGATTGACTGAGGTGGTACAGTCTTCAACCAGTTATGGCCTAATACTAATGCAAACCACCCTATTTTTTCACTATAGTTACAATAGTTATTAATTAAATACCTTATTTTTACAATTACCAATTTTTACCAATTTACGCTACATTAAGTTTTAAATTATTTTATTGAGTGAATTTTTATTAAGTTCAATTTATTATTATTTAATAATAGGAATTAGAATAAACTAAAACATATTAATTAGTACTGCAGTCTTATGTCTGATTGGGATTTTTCATCAGAGGAAATACTGGATCCCAAACTGGTGATACGGGGAAACCATCTTCCCTGTTGAAATTAGGATGTTTTTTAATTTCAATGGCCTCTCGCAGCATCCTGGGTAGATAACGGACTTCTTTTGCAAGGATCTGGGGTTTGTCAAACTTCATTGAATAAACCTACACATCCATGACATGCTCGCAGACTGCAGACTTGTTTTACTAGGATTCGGGAAATCACTTAAGAACTTTAAATAAAAAAAAAATCCAATCTCCGAAATATCGCTGATCCGGCCCACTGTGTGTGATTTCCTGAATCCCGAACAGATCCAGGACCTAAAAAATATTGTCGTAAGGCAGCCTCCATTTCTGTGTGTTCCGCGAAGTGTAGGTAAAAAAACTCTACCTATTCCGATCCCTACTCATAGTTAAATAAAGCCAATAAAGGACCTACTGCGTACATGATATCGTTTATCGCGTCAATAATTTTTTGGACATCTTCTTAGATAGCTAACGTCGTCAAATTTTATTTGTACTGCTCGAATGTAATTTGTAATTGTAAAAATAAGGTATTTAATTAATAACTATTGTAACTATAGTGAAGAAATAGGGTGGTTTGCATTAATATTAGACATAACTTGTTGAAGACTGTACCACCTCAATCAACCGTGACGACGGGATCTGTAAAGGGCCCGAAATGTCGGTTTCTTTGAAAAAACAAATATACGCGATTTAAATCCGAAAAAATAGTTTCATTTTCTATTATAATTTTTGTTGAGTGCGGTGGGCCTAATGCGAGAACGACTGCTTCTCAACTGAGAGCCGAGAGAATACAGTGCGAACCCTGCGACGGCACGTGTCTAGGACTTTGATTTGTGGTTATACACCCACGTCTGTGAACGTTTAGTAGCAACTTCCCTCCTCTCGGTAGCGGTGAAGGGACACATCGCGATGAAACCCGCTTGTCGCAGAAGGTTCACCCTCTCCGGAAACACGGCAGACTACGGTCCAGTCTATTATTATTACACTGACTGCTTAGAAGTAGCCCGCGCACAGCAGACGGATGCGTAACCGGCCGACGATGACGTTTTCTTTTTATTGTAGGGAGACAGAGGGGAAAAAGGAGACGCCGGTCCGATGGGGCTGCCGGTGAGTATGGCGCGGCCCGCCGCGGCCGGGGGGGGGGCCGAGCTGACGAGGACGCCTGTTGCAGGGCCCCGTGGGGCTGCCGGGCGAGCCGGGCGTGGTGGGCGCCTCGGGGCGGCCGGGCGACGCCGGCCCCAGGGTGAGCACTCCGCCCCCGCCCCTCGACTCGTCTCCACCCGCTAACCTCGCACGCTAACTTGTGCCATTAATGCTAGAAACGAACGAGAGTTCGCATTGCCGTGGCGTTTGACATACTCCGATTGAAGCCTAGAGCTCTTTGCCACGTTGTTCCGTCGATCGGGAGATGTCGAGGGCTCGGCTGCCGCGGCTGCCGGTGTGTGGTTACTAACGCATGCGGGGTGTGGGGCGCAGGAGAACCGCTGGCCGCCGGACTTCGCGTTCACGTAGTGAGCGCCGCGCCTGCGCCGTGCGCCGCGGCGACCACGACACGACGACGACGCGGTGCCTCGTAAAGTGTAATATTTGTATGTACGGCCTCTCTAACCCAGTCGTAAGGTTACCGATGCCACAATTTCGCCAGTAAGTGTTACAGATTTGTACAAAGGTAATATTTTTTGAGTGCATCTTAATTACGTAGGCGCAGACTCCCGTCCCGAGCCACTTTTGTAATTGATAGTCGCAAATCTCTTCCCGGACTTCGTTATATTGCACTCGCGATACGCGCTCATTGCCGATTGCGACCTCTTTCTTTACTTTTTGATCTCCTTTATAATTTTTCGCCTCGCAGAAGTGCTCGCTAGAGTAGAACCGTGTAAATAGTGTATGATTCGACCAAAAGAGCTATTTTTAATCTTTCTGTATATTTGAATAAAAATGTGACGCGGCGTTCCGCGAGCCGAGGGTCGCCTCAGCGGCGGCCAGCCGTCGCGCGATGAGTTACTATGTGATATATTTGTAAATGTGAGATTAAATATTAAGTTAGTTAGGGCATCCCTCCGATAAGCATAGCAATTTGTAAATTTGTCTACTACTCATATCTTCCTGGTTCAATCGTGTTAGAAAACCTTCGTTGCAGTTATAATATGAAACTCCCTTCGAAATGGCTCTTTGGCACTCTATGCATGTAATAAATCCTATCTTATATGTGTGTATAAATGACTAGGTGTGTAAAAGTGCTAAGATATTCGTACTGTAACGTAATGCGCAGTGACGGTGCGCGCCGCAGGGCCCGCGCCCGCTCACTGCGCGGCCCGCGACTCCCGTCCGAGGCGGCTGCGCACGCGCCGTCTCTCAATGTTGACTCGTCTTATCGTGCCCACGGCCACGGTGCCGGCCAGGCCTGTGTATTACAGTGTTGTACATAGATTTGTAAACTATTTAAGCTGTTAGGTTCTAGGAAAGAAAGTTTCCGGATGTTAAAATACACCCACTCGTCGCGACTGACGAGACGCCACAGAAACTGCGAATTATTCGAGCGGTCGCTGCTGGACCGCGACGAACCGTATTTTAACATTCTGGAACGAGTTCCGTGTCGGAAGGTGAAATGTACAAACGTGTCGCGTAAGCGTCGGGGCGAGGGCCCGCGCACGCGCACGCGACTCGGCCCGTGTGCCGCTTCGCTCTAAGCTAGGATAAGCTAATTATAAATATTTCCTCCAGTCTCTCTACTGCTGTATCGTATTACTCTAAGAATATTGTTAAGATTTAGTTTTTTTATGAAGTCAAAAGTTGTCATTTGTACCATACTTACGCCGCGAGAGCATATTGTTGTTTACAAATTATTTTGAAAAATAAATTCTTGCATGCTATGCACAACTGTTTTTCTTTTATCTACTCCTTTCGCGTTTTCACCTCTCGACTCCGTCGACGTAATCTCCGGGCTGCCGCGGCCCTGCGCGCGCGCCGCATGCCGCCCACCTCTCTTCGCATGCCTCTCTCCGTGGTGCGCTACAAGCCTCTACAAATGCATACTGTACATATATACGTGTAAGGTGAAGCGTTAATAGCTAATTGAAATTACGTTCTAAGAAACTTTTCCTGATTTCGAAACGCTGATATAGTTGACATTTGAAAACAAATAAGAATTGTTTATTATTTTATTTTTTTACCGAAAGCATGTAAAATAGAAATCAAAAGTTCTTCTTAACACGAAAACGCTTAAACGATTTTAAATTTTTAATCAAAGAAATCGACATTTTTTTATATAAAACGACAGAAATTTGTGTCCAACATCTTGTTCTAGTAACGTTGCGTTGTTCCGCAGGGCCCGCCTGGACTCGACGGCATGAAGGTGAGTGAGACGGCGCCGGCGCCTCCTCCGAGCCTCACCTGCACCATCCGCTTTGCTTTCCATCCCACTCTCGGACAGAACATTCGTTCCACGCGCATACTACATTGCATAGCCCACGATTGAAGGCCCATTTGTTTCTCTTGATCACTTTGTTCAGGAAAATATTTCTAGCACATTTTTGACATTTTTTTGTTCTGGAGATTAATCGTTTGGTCCGTCAACATTAGCCAAACAGGCGGCTATGTTTATCTAGGATTATGCGTATGTCTAAAGCATTGCACTCGGATGTAACAGTGTAGCTAAGCACTGTGTGATTGCCGCAGGGCGCGCAGGGCGAGCCCGGCTCCAAGGGCGAGAGAGGCGACCCCGGACTGCCCGTACGTTACTCTTTTCACCACTAATGCCTTTATGCACTCACTGATCGGATACTAACCCAGTTTGGACTAATTCCAGGGAACGGACGGCATACCTGGACAGGAGGTAAGTATTGCCCTGATTTTTGCCACAATACTTGTGATTTGGTAAGCACAGTAGTAACGAGAACTGTTGTCGGCAGGGCCCCAAGGGCGACAAAGGCTACAAAGGAGAACCCGTAAGTGGGAGACCAGACGACATTCTTAATAACAAATCAATTTGCATGAGTTATCCAACTTCGTGAATTGCTGCTTCGAACAACATTCGACATAATGTGCACCCACTCACGGCATGCTCTCATAACGCTTGGCATTTTTTCCCACATCAAACCGTGTTATGGCCAGCATGCTGCTTCTTTACTAACAAATGACCTCGTTCTGAACAAGATACATGTACATATAGACTTACATCAGGAAATCCAACTATCGGTTAAAGTTACATTATTTACGTGTAATGACAAAAAAATCCGCAGAACAGTGTGAAATCTATAGTTGCAGTCGCAGATGGATATCTAAGAATCGGACGTATGTCGCAGGGCCCGGCGGGCAAGCGCGGCCGCAAGGGCGACAAGGGCGACAAGGGCGAGCAGGGCGTGCCGGGACTGGACGCGCCCTGCCCGCTCGGCCCCGACGGGCTGCCGCTGCCAGGCTGCGGCTGGCGACCCACCAAGGTCAGTTGCCTACACTACAGCCGGCGTTTGTGTACAAATATTGCTTACTTTCCAATGCTTTGCAAGAACTGGTGATTGGATTGGATTTGGATTGTGTAAGTGGGTTTTAGTGTTCACTAACAAAACCATAACACGTGGCTAATAAAGTATACTAATGATTTTTTCATTGACACAGAAGCAATCGAAGAAACTGTAATAACTACACTCCTCACGAAAGACAAAAACAATGGAAGTGCTTTAAGCCTCGATTACTATCAGAACCGCTGTCGCCAACACTCACACATTCATAATTTGACACACTGTGAAATCATGGTAAGGATTGGTCGTAGTTTCAAAATTTAAAAGAAAGAAAAATGTTAGATTGTTAATTTTAAACTTTACCTTGTTGGCACATCGTTAGAAGCTCAATATCATCAATACCTAATATTGCAAATTACGACGTTTGACTTCATATTGAAATTTCAATATGCTGCCATCTAGCGGTTAGTAGCTGAACAACGACAAATTCGAGATATTATTTAGTTCTCCATAAAACAGGCGACCATATTGCAGCGATATAAGGTTTGCTTTCGTTTCTTGTAACCAAAAAAATAATAAACAGAAAATTGAACATAATTTTAATACATTAAATAAAAATAAAATTTAATGATCATACTGAACGCCACCATAGATAATATTACAAGTGCGAATATCATTTTTGCGCTCCAAAGTAGCGAATTATGGTATTTTTCTACGATTTAAGAGATTTTCAGCGAGATAATTGACGCAACCATAACGTAGGTACAAAACGGAAATGGCGGACAAAGCTCATATTTACGAAACTTACGCGAACTGTTGGCACACGTGACATGCAAACTGTAGTCGTCACAATGTAAGAGGCCTAAATAGACAGCTAAGGAAGGCGATAGTATTTAACTTTTAATGCAACGAACGAAACAGTTAACAAGCAACTAAATAATGATAGAACATTTATTTCAAGTAGGTATTGTTTTCGCCCCAATACCAAAATAAAATACAATTTTCAATTAGTCCGAAACGTCCTAAAAATAGTTACGTTTTCAATATATTTTTTTTAAATAATAGTGTTTATAAAACAATTAATCGCCGAATTTCAGCGAGTCAATTCAAATTCACTTTAAAAAAAATTGAGTTTTTTGGATAGAGTGAGCGCGCGCGCGTGCAATTGCACATCTTTTGTACTGCATAATTTTAACATAATTATTTAAGTAACTCAGTCTTTATTTAAAATTTTTCTTTTAATTATTTTGCTTATACTTATATGTATAATTTATTTATGTCAAAAAGTGTCGTTGTGGCAATAAAGGATATTTGTATTTGTACAACGTTATTGACTTTTACGGAGGTACAGACCTGGCGACCTGAAATACAGGATCAACCTAGTTCACACACCAGTCTCTGCAAATATTGTGGTACAGTGTAAACTTTGCAGAGAAAAAATAAAGGTTACGAATATGATTACCGATATGTTTAGTTCACATCCCTATTCATGTAGCGATGACAAGTTTGTATCAAAAGATGCCTCTTATTTTGAGACGACTTATAAGCACTTCTACTGTATTTATTGTTCTGTGATTCTCCTTGTAAAGTGTAAGAATTCTTGTCAATTAATTAACTGGGTTGTTATCTCTGTCTCTATTTTAAATTTTGTAATAAATTCGTCAATCGCTTATGTAATAATTTATTTCGTAGATTAATTGTCGTGCATTAAAAACAGTCACAGTCGGTACAATGCTCGGCAGAACAACATTGCGACATTGATAGATCGCGTATTTCTAATGATGTCAAAGCGCGCAGGCATGCCTCAGCGAGCACAGTGCCGACTGAGCAGACGGAGAAGTTCGGTGTGTGTAGTGGTAGTGGACGGTAGCATGCATGTGTGTGGCAGGACTCGGCGCGAGAGGCGGCGAGTGCGGCCGCGGGGGGAGCCAACGCGGGGGTGCTGGGGGGAGGGGTAGAATCGGAGGAGGAGGACCCGGGAGAGGAGTACGACACGCGCGACGGCGAAGAGGAGCCCGAGGCGCGCGATTACGACGACTATGCCGAAAATGCGCACGTCGCACGCCACCGCGACTGAGACTGCGAAGCCACGCTCCTCTTACTGCTTCCCTCCTATTAACTAAATACCTTGTGTGATCTCACCGGTTTCCGAATCCGAAGCGGCTCCGTCGCTATGGACGTCAATGTTAAGGTTTTTGTAAATATCTACTCTCTTTTGTTTTAACTTTTCAAAGACTGTAAGAGTCAGAATCAGAAAGATTTACTATTATAAAATCATTCTTCTCCAATAAATGTGGTTGAGTAACGATAGATACCCACGGTCAGGTAAAAACAATGTATGCCGATGTGCCGTTTGGCGACCGACATTTTTCGTGAGAGAAATCGCGGCTATTCGCGACTTGTGACGCGTTGCGGCACCCAAAGCGCGTGCGCAATATCATAGAAAGTAGTTCTTCGGAACGCTAGCGATGCGGGCTCGCGGAAGTGGATCTCGAATCCTTTTCATCTCCTATCCATCCCGACGGCGGCGCGGTCGACCGACACGGGGCTGTGAGTAGTTTGCTTTGTCTGAGTCATTTACTAACAAGTCACTTTGTGTTTTTTACCATGGGTCATGAAAGTAACACAATTTATACTAATTTTAATAACACATAGGTTAATAACATAACCTACTGCAGACATTGGACTGAATGTCGTACCTAGTCCGTAGCCAACGTTTGCTCGTTTCAAACGAGAATCAGAAAAAGTTCCAGTTCCGAGACACCGATGCTGACCCACTTGATGCCCTTCGATGATACTTTGTTGACTCCTTCTAGACCACCACAATTTGAATTGCGCGAGAGTCGCGGTGTGTGACAACTACTTGCGTTACAGGAGAGCATGCTGGAGTGGGTGCGGCGCAGGCTTGACCTCGACAATGACCTGCATACCTGAGCGCCGCGCATGCCGTGCCACAGCGACATCGCTGCTACCGCCGGAAGCCGCAGCTAGCTACCGGCGACTACTGCCACCGCTAGTAACAATTGTGCACGCTTCCTCCAGCCACAAAAAGTCAAACCACAAAGTTGTGCATTTTAGAAATTCTGTGTGCTTAGTGCACTATGTGATCGCTAAGTTCATGTCTAAATTGAAAAATAATTCATATAACTAAGATAACTATAATGGTGGATTATCCACGACTTTCGGTTTCTAGTAAGTACAACACAAATTAGTTAACTCATATCGTCATAAACAGCCGTGTGTATTTATGACAATCTGGTTAACTAATTTGTGTATTTTGCCCGACTAATTGGAAGCTGAAAAAGCAGATAGCAAAAATAAATATCAGTCAATTAAAATAACGAATGAATAAGTTATAATAATGATACGCAAATTTAAATTTAGAAAGTCATCCAGTAGGTTCTCCAATTTTGAAGTAAGAAGATCGAAATATGAAATTAATTAAATGTACATAAATGAACATTTAATGAAGTAACTACAGCCGAAAAGAATAATAACATGGATTTGTACTCGTTCAAGGTAACGCAACGCACTAATTAATGAGCATTATAGATCGATATATATAAGGTCTATCGAGACCGACTGTAGAGCAAAAGAACGAGCAGCGGACTAAGCTTGGAAGGCGAAATGCACAAGGACCTCAGCCCGTGTTGCACGATGGCGGAAACGTATCTGTAATTGCAAGCAACACAAGTCCATCGCTACTCGTCATCGCCTCATTCTGTAGCAAACGTTTTGATACAAACGTGTGACCGAGTAGCAAATTTAGCACATTTTTAGATTTAGATTATTAGCCATTGTTATGTATAAATTACCTTTAAAATTGTTTGTGATCTTACTCACTCGCTATTTCGCCGTTACACCACAGTGTTTGTATGTACTATAAACATGTACTATTTTTTTTTGGATCTTGTAAATAGTATGGTGATAAAGTCGTATTAAGTCTCTTAGTTATGTAAGTAGATAGTTCATCGTTTATGTCCAGATGCACAACGAATGGCACTTGACGTCATCCTGGTTACAAAAACCAATACCTTAATATTTTTTTCGTGAAATGTCAACTTGTGAAATAGTGAAATATGTTTTTTATTGGCCGTTGCGAACGGATATGTATATATGTTGTAAATATAGGCTATTGTCCTTCAAAGCAGGTCATTTACACCACATTGAAATATATTCCTTTGTTTGCAAGTCGTGTTTCTGTCACTGCTTCTACCTCTCCTCCGTCACATCCGTGCGCACTTACATTTACGAAAACTGTTTCGACATTTTTGTAGAAATGCGCAGATTACACCTCATTCGCCATGTCTATTGGTCATAATCTTCCCACCAATACACCTACTATGGCGCGGCCTACCATAAAGGGGCCTCTCCCATCAAAGCACTTTACGGTGGCTCTGTATCATTTTTTTTGCGATCACAATTCAATTTAAAGACGCAAATTAGTTAACTTCTTTCAACATTCAAGATTTACAAAACTGAAATTCAACGGTGATTAGGAATTTGGAAAAAACTTGCTATGTTGCATGACATTGACCAGTGATCAAATGCTTTTCGATTTACTTATATATTTATTTTGTTTTGGGCAAGGCAACAACAGCTTGTTATTGCACGGTTACATTTAAATTGTGTAAAACGGAATAAAGACAATCATGCTATCTACAAATTACACGAGAGCGCGATGTACTCACCAAATACTATAATACCCCAAGTAGCACACATTAGTCTAATTCCGGTTTTGTAGATATCTCTAATAGGGTTATATTTGATGGTCTAGCTTAAGAGTAAATTATCCCCCGAGTCATCTGCAGGAGGTTGCGTAGATAATCTCTAGTAAAAAGTGGCAGATGTTTAGTGTGCCTCATTGAATGCCAAAAAAAAACTAAGAGCTCTTTAATTGTGGCGTTTATTTAGTGTTGGAAGTTACTTACACAGTTAAGTTAAGTAGTAAGTTAGTTACACAGAAATGAGTCCATTGTATTAATTAGTTACACTTTTTTGACACCTAAATTAAGCTAAATCGAATTTCAAAACGTTGCAACTAAACAGTCGCCACGTTGTAAATGACCGAACTTGCTGATATTTCAATAGATCATTTTAGGGTTATCTTAAGAGCAAAGCAAGTTGCTCAGAACAATTTCAGAGTATTAATAGCGTAATTAATATGAAGAACAAAATTACTAGAATGCAAATAGGATAGTTGCTCTAAAGTGATCTAGGAAAATTATATTTGGTATTCTTAATGTTGTCTTATGTTATTCTTCTTACCTCGACAAGAGTTCATCTTGTAACATTTATTACAGTGATTGGCTGGATCTAACGACACTATCGAGTCAACCAGTATGACGAGAAGTTATTAAATAAAAGAAAACACTAGTTTGTACATAGTTTCATTACACTGTTGATAATATATATAGTTCCGTCAGTTTCATGGAGACTTAGAGCCGCGACATCAGAACGTCAGCACTTTCACAGAGTCTTCAGACATATTTATTGCTGACTACGCAAATGATATTCCTGACTTAGTCGGTGACGAGGTTGTTGCTCTCAACGTCTCCTTACTCATACAAATATGTGCATTATTATCCTCTTACTCATGTGGTCTGTGTCCTACTCCTACTCCGGTCATACTCTATGTATGCATGGTATACTAGGTATGTACATAACATACATACACACATACTAAAATACTAAAATAAAATACAATCAGCTTAATTTCACATGTAAAAATGTAAGTTAAAATCTCCTCGATGGCACAGCAGTTGGTACTGCGGGTGCTTGATGAGGCGTTCAGTTCCCGATTTGGGCAAATTTAAGAAACGAACATTAAATTTCTAAGTTGGTTTTGGTCTGAGTGTTCTGGGTTATCGTTCTTTCGATATTCATAGTACAGGAAATTCGGCAGCAGTTTGGCATTTTTTCCCCCTAAATACTTCTCTTTGGCATAGCTTCCAAGAAAATGGCATCTAACAGAGAGACGATCGAGATACAACAACGCTATAATAAGTATCTCATTTCCACTACATCGGGAAGTATGCCTTACATTTTTAAAATTGTGAGATCTTATACTCGTAATCTTTTACGCCTCCATATATTATCTCCATCTCTCCGTCTCTCCGTATATTATCTTCGGGCTTCGCCCTCCGCGGACCGCGGCCTACGGCCTCGGCACTTATCACTTTGTTTTAAAAAATTTAAATAACTCTTTAATGGCGGCCATATTTAAAAATTGCAAAAATATGTTTTTTACCACAAATTTTTATCAAACAGTCTTAGAAATCTTTTCGTGCCAATTTTCAGTCCAAGCAAGTTTTTAAAAATTTTGTTCCCACCATATCGGGAAGTGTGCCTTCTACTTGTATCAGTGAGTAAGAAATTGTAGCTTTAAGTATATATATAACTAGATAGCGCGCATTGCGCTAGGCCGCTAGAGCGGCCCGCAAGGGCTTTCTTTATATCTTGTGGCAAATTGGGAGTTGAACTTTATATTTCAGTAGAGAATCCTCTTGCATCCTCCCACTCAAGCACAACCATGTGCTTGAGTGGGAGGAATCTGCGAAGTCAATTTCTCATATCTCAGTCTAATTTGTCATTTAAATTAAGCTTCAGAAAAGTCAAATGTTTATGGGACCATTTTTAATTTGCTGTATTGGAAAATTTTTGATCCCGGTAGAACCTGACCAGGGTCCTTGACAAATTTTGTTTGAAAGTTATACATCCATCTCTGACGCCTTGACCGGACTGTTAATCACAAAAACCAGGTCGACTTGGATGTTGCATGTTGCGCTGGGCCAGTAAAGCGGCCCGCGAGGACTGTGTATGAGGCTTGTGACTTTAAAAGTAGGATTAAATGTAAGAAAGACTTCGTCTGATTTTTTTAGTTAGGTTTATTTGTATGGGAAGGAGCCAGGTAGTAGGTATAATCGCATCAAGTCGTATCCTTATATACTTCTAAAGAAACTATTCGCATATCATCAACAATTGCGAAGATTCAGTAAAGTCAATTTTGTATGGCGGCCATCTTGAATTCACCACATTGGAAAAATTTTGGTCCCGGTAGAATCTGACCAGGGTTCTTGACAAGTTTTGTTTGAAAGCCATGTACCCATCTCTGACGCTTTGACCGAGCCGTTTATCAAGAAGACCAGGTACACCTGGGTGTTGCATGTTGCGCCGGGCCGCTAAAGCGGCTCGCGAGAGCTATATGTGAGGCTTGTGACTTTAAATGTAGGAAAGCCTTCATCGGTTGGTTTCATTGGTGATTTTTTTCGTTAGGTTTATTCGGGTGGAAGGGAGCCAGGTAGTTGGTATAATCGCATCAAGTCGTATCCTTATATACTTCAAAAGAAACTACTGGTATATAATCAATAGTCGCGAAGATTGAGTAAAGTAATTTTTTTATGGAGTCCATCTTGAATCGGCCATTTTGAAAGAATATTTCAACAGCCAGTTCGCCCCTACCGCCCTCTATGATATTAGTTTGAACATAACTTACATATCTCTAACAGTTTCAAAGATATAGTCCCACGAAACGTATATGGCGGCCATTTTGTTTTGCGAATTTTGTTTTTTTTACTCCCGGTAGAAACTGCCCAGGGTTTGGAGTATCATTCGTTTGGAGACATTAGGGCTAAGACGTATACTGTGGCCGGGCAGCTGAGGTTCTACCTCATACTTTTCGAAGGTTTTGGTACTTTCTGATACTCACCAAATCCACCTAACCATTATTCGCATACATCACTGTGATTCACCCGCTCTTCTTCTGGAAAAAAATGCTGGTAAAAATAACCGGAAATTCACTTGTATAGCGGCAATCTTGGAAAATGGCGGAATTAAAATTTCGATCACAGATCCATACTATGAGCGTCCGTATACGATCGGATGTCAAATTTCCGTCGGATCGGAGCTTGAAATTTCGCCATCTTGAAATTTTTTTACCTGCAGTTGGCTCGTACTATTCTGTACGACATTTTGTTTGAGCGCCTCTCATCTATCTCCAATACTCGCCGAGATGTAGACCTCGGAACATAGTGGACTGTTGAAAATATATGAGAGCCATATTGGGAAGTGGCGGTATCAAGAATTTGACCACAAATTCGTATTAAGGGTTTCCACACGGAACATGGAAGGCTATAAAATTTCAGCCGGATCGGAGCACCGTTTTGTTGGGTCACCATCTGGAATCGGCCATTATGAAAAAATAATTTCAATAGCCAGTTAGATCCTGTCGCCCTCTACAATATTAGTTTGAACACGATCTACCTATTTTATATTTTATTATTTCCAATAGTTTCTGAGATACCGGCCCCCGAAATTTGTATGGCGGCCATTTAGTTTTTGGAATTCTGATTTTTTTTCACTCCCGGTAGAAACTGCCTAAGGGTGTGGATAAACATTTGTTTGGAGATTTGAGCCAAAACGCATACTTTGGCCGGGCAGCTGGGGTCCTACCTGATACTCACCAAGCCCATCCGACTACAATTCCGCTACATCATTTTTACCCACCCGTACTCTGGGAGAAAAATGACCCCAAAACGCAGAAAATTCACATATATGGCGGCCATCTTGGAAAACGGCGCAATCAAAGTTTCGATCGCATATTCCTATTGTGTGCCCGGATACACGGCCGCATGCCAAATTTCAGCCGGATCGGACCACTTTTTTTGGGCCCCAATTTTGAGTTGGCCATCTTGAAAAAATTTTTTCACAGGCAGTTGACCCCCACCGCCCTCTATGACATTTGGTCGAGAAACCCCGCCTATCTCCAATACTCGCCGAGCTATAGGGCTATGAAATTTGTATGGCGGCCATCTTGTTTATTCGAATTTTGAATGTTTTTCACTTCCGGTAGAAACTGCCCAGAGTGGCGGCCATTTTTAGTTTTACGACCCTGCCGGTAGGTGTTACACATTAGCCGCGCAGCCGGGGTCCCACCTGATGCAGTCCATTTTTCGAAGGTTTCGGATTTTTCTGGTACTCACCGAGCCCATCCGACCACGACTCCCGTACGTCATTTTTACCATGAGTCCTTCTGGGAGAACAACTATGTCAATGACAGTCAGTGGTAATCGAGCTATGTATAATATAATAATAATATATAATGGGAGGAAGAAGCGAACGTTTAAATCTTCTCAATTCTCAATTCTCAAAACAAAATTCTCAATTTACTATCGCTGATGCGAAACTCGACAAACTTGCACTTGCACGAATGTTTTCATTTTAAGTAACCAAATTAATGTAAGAAACAATCGATTATA